TAATTTAATTTAATAACTTAACCTAATTTAATTTAATTATAGCTGTTCAAAGTGAAGAATGGCAGGCATAGTAAGGTGTCAGATTGCATTTGATGAATTTTTTTAAAACATATTTTTTATATCTTCGCAAATATTAATGTCTTTTTAAAAAGTTAAAACTAAATAAAAAATAATAATAATAATTTTCTTCTTTTTATGATCAGCTTTTAAAACGATATAATATTTACATATATATATATATATATAATCATCCCGAACTTTCAAAAAACTATTCTTCCACAAAAAATCATTTTCGCTTATAAATCTAATTAATTAATATATCAATTCATATTAGAGAAAAAGAATTATAAACCAATAAGCAATATAATTTAATAATATAGAAATGATTTTCTATATGTAATATAATTAATTATGTGGCAGCACTATTTTTTAGATTCTACAAGTGATAAAGGGAATGAGTACAAAATCCCGTTTTGAAAGCTAATTTATTTTGCTATTTTTTAGTTATCGGATGTTCCAACTAATACAGTGCGGATTAAATTCATTATCAGTGGAAACATGACTAAAGCATATTTATTGAAATTATATAAACTGAAATGACCACACCCACTGCCATCACGGGTTCCATTTGTTTAATGGACAAAAGTGAATTCGTAATTTCAAAGTTTTCGAAATCACAAGAAATCAATCTCATCGAGAAACGCAGATCAAAAAGATGGACGGAAGTTGATGGACTTAACGCTAACACAACCGATAGCTATACATTTTCCTACTATGATATACTCTCAACGGCTTCGTCGATTTTCATGCGCGCAATTGCAGTCTGTATAAGCATAAAATTGGCTTATAGTTATTATGAGCCACCCAGGCAACTTAATTACTTTATTTGGACAGCAATTTGCATTGTGATGCCAATGTTTATAACGACGCTTATACACGCAAATATGTAAGTTGAAAATAATTTAAATTAATTATAAATAATATATTTTCGTGATTTTGCGCAGGTGCTACCAGGACGGCAAATTTGGTAAGGGATTTGTAAAGTCTTTCAAGACACTTTGGCTTATTTTTCTATCGTCTTTTATGTTTCGGTAAATTATTTATCATTTAAATCATTTAGTTATGTATTTTATTTTATGCTTTTATTTTCAGTTATTGGAATGTGCTTGTTTACTCTATAAAATGCAAGCGTGCGCAGTTGAATGGCTGTAAAGATTTGCAGCTTAAGTATGTAAACAAAACAGATCTCAAAGCAGATCTCTTTTAAATATAACTCAAAGCACTTTTCTCTTAATAATAATATGTAGTATAAGATTTTGTTAAATATATTGTATTATTTTATTAGGTATTATAAAATGGCTATAAAAGAGGAAAGTGATGTCGCTTTTATAAGACTATTTGAGTGTTTTCTTGAAGCGGCACCGCAAAAAATTTTACAAATCTCTATTGTCTTAAATTTTGTGGATGAAGAGATTACACGTATGTATTCTGTAAATTAATTTAGTTCTTTTTGTAATGTGTGAAATATTTAGCTATGCAAATAATTGCTATCTGCTCATACTTTGGAAGCATGGCTTGGTGTTTGGCTGCTTACCATAGATACAATCGATATTCCCAAATCGATAAAAGTGATATTAGCACGCAAGGATTTATCTTACAGTTGGGCTGGCATTTTTGCACTTCGGGTTTGTTTAAACATAATATATTTATTTAAAACTGTAACACATGCTAATGCCTAAATAGTCAACCTCTCATATTAATACACTCATATTTTATATATATATATATAGTTAATTATTTATTTCTATTTTCAGTTTCAAGGACTTTATGTATTGCATTCGTCGCCAGTTTGTTTCCACTTTGGACAATTGTGGCATGTTTGAGTCATGCATTCCTATTTGGCTTCGTTACATTTATTGTGGAACGTCCAGTGTTTGCATCAACTTCTTGTTTAAATTTTCTGTTTTGCCTTATATTGGGCGTAGTGTATTTATTTACTTACATATCTGTGAAAGACGCTTCAACTAAATATAAGTACCTGATATATTATATAATATGCTTTACAGAGAATATTATATGTATTGCCTTATTCATGTCGTTTGCGTCAAGTAATTTATTCCAATGGACTTATCTTTTTTACTCATTATGTGCAATGGCTTTAGTATTTTATATATTTGGTTTAACATTTATGATTATATATTATACATGCTTTCATCCAAAAAAAACAGCTAGGAAATCAAAACTTGTTAATAATAATTAATATGTATTTCTTATTTTAAATACACAATTCCTTTTTGTATTTAAGCAAACAAAAATTCCAATACTCCATAGGAATATAAGATTTTTTGTATACAAATAACAACATTACCTATTTTTATATACAAATCCAATTCTTTATAACATTGTATTTATATAATTTATTAACTAAAACTAAAGCGAACAAATATTTAATAATATATAAAACTCTATATATATTGTATATATCGATCAAATTCATGTCTTATACATGAAAATTAAATTTACAAAATAACATATAGTATAAATATTGTATTTTATTGTGCTGTTCCGAAAGCGAAAATGTTCAACAACTCACAAATATTAAAATATAATTTATTTCCTTATATTTTAACCTTGAATACATTCTAAAAGTATCTGTATTATTATTTAAATAAATTGTAAATTTCGAATTTACTTGAAATTATTACAAAGAAATTCCGAGAAGTACACACAAATGTAATTAAGAAGAATACAATGAAGCTTAGGTGATGGATTTGTGACCTGAAGAAGATGAAAAAGAAGAATTTCCTAATAATTTTTTTGAATGTGCTGCCTGTTGGTAAGGTGATAGAAGACAAGAGGTAGAATATACACATATACATATATTAGCATAGTTACCGTTTGTTATAGAAAGATAAAATATCAAATTTTCATTCCTGTAGATCCTCAAACAATAAGTATTTGAACTCAGCCTCTATGGCATTGTACTGAATAAAATTATATAAATTTGTTAAAGGAAGACAATAACAATTACCAGTGCTTTAAAAGAAGTTATAGATTTTTCACAGTCTATTTATAAAAATTATAATTTATAAATTTTACAAATATGTTATATTAATATAATATCTCTTCATTCAAAAAACTCTCAATATCGTTGATAAATTATTCATTTTAAACATTAAGAAAGTACCTGCTTTAAACTAGGTTTAGGTTAGATTAGGTTGTAGTGTTTGCCTTGTGTACAAAGGCTCAATTAGCACAATTAATGGCTGGCCGTAATACGATGAATGGAATAATGTTCATGTGCCAGAACTGGCGCACCACCCTAAGTAAATACATCTTAAAAAATAAAGTGCCAACAAACTGCACTTTTTAGTGGAATAAGAATAATAAAAAAAATGCTAGCTAACCGTACTAAAAAAAAACATATATATAGAAATCAGAAAAATATCTTTGTAAACATTTTTAGTCTTAAAATAATTTTCTTCTTCACTAAGTCTATTAAAATAGACATTTATATTGCAGATTTATATGATGTATTATAACAAATGTACGAGGGAAGTGAGTAAAAGCAAAACCTTCGGTTTAATTCAATACATAAATAAATCATTACTTTATTATTTTTTATTATTTTTTTATTATATAAAGGTTACTATCGTAAAACTTTAAAATAAAACACTATTTATATAGTTTTTGATATATATATTTTTATTTATATTAATATTATTATTAAATAATAGGCTAAGAATGCACCCCGACCTAAAAGATCTATTGTGCGCCTAAAGGCCCAACTAAATCAATTCTAGACTATATATAAATCCCGTAATTGCTGTGGGCTTAATATTTTTTTTATATAGTCCTTTCCTACAACATTCTAAGCTTCGCCAAAGGTACCAGTTGGTTTAAAACCTTGAGTTTCTCCAAGGTAACACAATGGGCCAAAAGACTTAAGTGAATCTAGTGCCGGTACAACCTAATCTAGTCGTTTTTTATGTAAAGTTTCCAATATTTTTATTTAAAAAGTTAACGATAATAACCTTTAAATATTAAATAAATAAGAAAAACATTTTGTACTTGCATTTTTTGCCTGTTTGCAAAATAATTTCAAAACTTCACCCAATAATTATCACTAGAATATTTTTGGTTAAGTTAAATTTCAATTTTATTTAAATAAACGTATATAACTTTTTAAAATAATTTATTTTTCAAATATATATATATCCATATATATATATTTAATTTTTTCTGAATCGCAAATAGGATATTGCTTATTAAACTTCTAACAGTTCTTCCATTTTCAAATTTAACAATTCACAAAATATAGTTAATATGTATATTGCATTTTAAATTATTGCATATTAAGTTATTTCAATAGTTAAAATGTGAAAAATATAATGAATTTGGTTATCACTGATCTTTATTTATTGCTTCTATTTGTATAGGCGATTCGACTTGCTGCTGTTGCTGTTGTAGTTTAAGTTTCTTCTTGGCTTGTATATCAGCCAAGGTTTGTTCTATTGAACGCATGTCTTTTTTATTTTTGCTCGGCACAAAGCCGTAACTGTGATTGGTTTCTGTTTTTCTTGCCGCTTCTAATGCAGCCTCCTGACCTATTAAATGTGCATATTTATCTTTATAGTTGCTGCTGGGTTTCACTTCAATTTCATTTTTAGTTGTAGTTTTGATGGAAGCACGAACCATTTTCTTCTGTTCAATTTCTAATTCGCGTTGCTGTTTTCGACGCTCTGCATATTCCTTTGCTATGTCCTCATCCCAACCATCACCATTTCGTCTGGCAGCGATTTCATCTTCTGTTGGTGCATTTTCTTTCTTATAAACTACTGAATGACGATCGATATCTTCCCGACCAAAACTCATTGCAATAAATCCACCATATTCAGCTACCTCGTGTATAATTGCGCGATGCACTTTATCCAAAGGTTGAAACTCAATATGTGGACGATCATCTTTGGCAAAGCGACCTATTCTTTCTTCTACGTATTTACGAAATCTTAATAATTCCTCCTTTTGCCTATTTTTAATACGCTCTGCGTACTCCTTCTGTTTTTTTATTAATTTCTTTTGTTGTTCACTGGCAGTTGGAGGCTTATCTTTGTCCATTGATGTGAGTATAGAGTTAAGCAAATCCATTTTTCTGGATATTTTTTGATATCACAGCACTTTATTTTGACTATTATTGTAACTTATATTTTCTACGTCTTTCTATTTGTTTATTTGTTATGTTATTTAATACAACACAATATTCTTTTCTTCGTCTGGCGACTTCTTGTTCTTAATGCTCAGCTGGCAGATGACAGCAAAAAGTGGAAAACGTTTCAATGTCAAAATGTGGATTCTAACGATTTTGGAATGCAATTTTTTTAAATATTTTTTGCTTTCTAACATCTCATTTTAATTATACTAATTAATGCTTTCATGAAGCCTTAATCATATCAACGTTAATTAGTATAAATAAATAATTTCCATAATGAATTAAAAAAAATGTTACAAAGACCATTTTTATGTATATTTTTTCTTATTAATATCGTAATATGTATACCCTTCGCACACAACTGTGAAACGGGTATTTAAGTTAGGCAAAATGTTTGTGTTAGTTACGTAGTCAGATGTTGGATAGCATATAAATCTGTGGAATAGCATGAAAACCATATCGATTTCTCAATATCAGTACATTTATTAAAATGCAAACTATTTTCTTAATGTGCTACTCGAATGAAATTGAGCGGTGGAAGTTTTTATAAATTGTGAAAAATAATTGATTATATCATGAAACGGCCGTGAAGATGCATTTGTATAGAACAAATAAGAAAAAACAAAACCATTTTTTCTTATTTTTAATAATAACATTAAACAAGTAATGCAAGGAACCGATCATTAAGAAAACCCTGGACCTTCTCCTTTCCGGCACTCTCGTAAACTTTAATAAAATTCTTTTGTAATGCTATTTTTGAGGTGCTGAAGTTCGTGCTTTCTTGGAGGAAATATTTATTAAGTTACGCAAATAACACAATATGCCAATGTGAGTCCCCTAGGGATCGCCTATATAACCTAACTTAACCTAACTATTTAAAATAATAATCTGGTATCGTTATGTAACTCTCCGGTAGGTGTATGCTTCATTATTAAAAAAATATTACAAAATGTTTTCTTGCAATGATAAAAAAGATCCTTCCATAATACATAACACAAGAATTTATATGCTCATATATTTACCAACCATTTGAGAATTATAATTCAGATGGTTTTATATATTATTCAATAAGATATATAAAACGAAAGGTTTCAACCAAGCGTATTTAAAAGGTGACTTTTTATTTATTATATATATTTTATATATACATTCCCTTTAGATTTCCGGATCTTTATATTTTTTCAGTAACTGGTAGTTATCTATTTCTGATATATAAGTTGTTGTCAGATATTGTGTTTTGCCAGAGTATTTGTAACTGTCACGTGTTCAATAGTAGGTCAATAGTGGCTCGCAAGTATGACAAAAAACAGTAAGTTGCTAGCCTATACTGCAAAACAACAAAACTATTTTCACTATCTAGGCCAGTAGTTGTTAACTGGCCAAACACTTCGGCCATTAAATAAAAAAGTCCTGCCAACGCAATATAGCAAACTATTGTGAACCTTCATTGGAAATTCCAGTGAATGTTGCAATCATTGTCAAAAATCATATGTTTAAAATATTCAAACAAAATTCAATAAAGCAAAATATTAAAAAATATATAAAAATCTTGAAAAACAATGGAGAAATCGTAAGTACAAATCACATTGAATTTTTTAAAATGTTAGTTATTAACAAGTAACATTTATCTTATTTTATTTTTTTATAAAAAATGCAGTTTGCTTGATTCATGTGCAGATATGCAAGATTTGCTTTGTGAAAACAAAACATTTGACAGATTGCAACAGTGATGCCAATATCTCGCTTAGCAAATATAGGCTAGCATGCGTTTTCTGCTACACTTGCGAGCTACCGAAAACGGTGCCGTTGATAAATTACGCTGACTGTGACAATAACCTGTTCGTACAGGTTAAGATCCATTATGATAACAGGTTATCATAATGGATCTTATTTATTTAGACCTAGAGTGAATCATGAAGTCCTATACTTTCAATATATTAGAATATTTTTAGTATATTTTGCAGTTTTAGGTTACGTGTATTATCAAATATTTCTCAGTATATCTTCTTAGCACATACTTCATGTTGCTGGCTGCTGCCTCTCTCTAGAATAACATCCGATGGTAGAACTTATTTCCCAGTATTTTTGGAATAAAATTTCTGCAGCTTTAATCTTTTTTATAATATTTATATTATTACATATTATTGATTAGGGACGTTCGTTGTTTATACGTCTGTCAACACTTCCCAACTGGAAGATCATTGTTATTTGCCCATTTGTAATTGCCTTATAAACGTTAACAGAAAAATAGAAATTAAATTATATTTATTTTAAATACAATAATAATAATAGTTATTTATTTAATAATATTATTTTATATTTTTGTTTATATAATTTTACAATTTACTACATTTATATATTAAATTAAATTCGAAATTCATTTTTATTCCGAAAAATTTGTCGAACTTCATAAGTCTTATGTTCGACTTAAAAATCTATCATTCATGTTGATATAAGTAATTTTTTGGGTTCATTTTGTTCATTTTGTTTGCATTTTACGTTCATTTGTAAACACAAAGCATTTGGGTGCATTTAGAAGCAAAGCAGTAGCATTTTTATTTGTTTTTGTATTGTTGGCGGTATTTTTGTTTTAATTTAAATGCAAAAAAATATGACAACGGATCGCGAAAAGAGTAAACGAACTTTAAAACTAATAGAATTAGTTAAAAAAAATCCTGAATTATATAGAGTCGGTAAAAATTACAAAAAAAATAGCAAAATATGGAAAGCAATAGCAGCAGAATTGAAAGAAGATGGTAAAACAAACTCTGCAGCAAAGTAAAAGCAGTATTTTTCTTAACTAATTAATAATAATAATAGTTTGAAGTTATTTTATTACGTTAGTGTGTATATAATCGATCAGATTTTTAATGAAATGATTTATATTTATTCTCTTAATTTTGTTCTGAACTTCTAATATTTAATGCTTCATAATAAAATATAAATATATTTTATTTTCATTAATATACATTTCAAAAGGAATTTTTATGCTACGAAATAATTCTTAAATTTTTTTAATTACTTCCAGTTTATGAATGTAAGAGAAAATGGGAAGCATTACGAGTCTCGTACACAAAAGAATTAAGGTTACAGAAGGGTTTGGAGCGTCGTGGCAAAATGAAAGCGGTTCGAACGGGTTGGTATTTAACGAAGGAAATGTCATTTCTTGAAAATTGTATAACACGTCAAAAAACTAAAAGTGATTGGAGTTCCTCATTAGAAGAATATACAGGTGGTGATACAACAAATTCAGATACTTTTGACAAAATAAAAGAAAAAACTCGTATATCTGATATAACGAGACCAGTACGAAGCGAAAGTATTCCGTGTACGGAAAATACAACAAAGTCAGATACTTCTGTCAAAATAAAAAAAAAAACTCGTATATCT